CGTTGGCGATTCGCGACATCAAAGACGAATACGACTATATCGCCAAACAAGGCAAGCAGGACATGGAGAGCTGGTACAAACTCAAGGTGAGTGGCTGGAACACGGGGACAATTTACCCGAGGTCGGGGGTATTTCGGGGACAATTTACCCGAGGTTGGGGGTATTTTCGGTGACAGGTGCTAAATTTGGGTAAACATTTCAGGTATCGGAAGTCCAAGGATCAGCCAATCGTGCCAATATGGAATCGACCTATCAACGTGAAGAAGTCAAGCGAATGCGCGATAATATCGGTGACCTTCGTGGCAAACTCGGCGATTTGGAGGCCAAGAACGCACTCCTTGAAAAGGAAGTCCAGAACCTTAACTATCAGGTGCGTGGGCGTTTATTTTTTATTATATATTATTATTATACATATTATTTTTTATTGTATATTATTATTATATATATTATTTATTATTGTTATATATTATTTATTGTTATTATTGTTGCGACTATTGCAGCTCAATGACGACCAGAGACAGTATGAAGCAGCGCTAAACGACCGCGACGCGACCCTGCGCCGCATGCGTGAGGAATGCCAGACGCTCGTGGCAGAATTGCAGGCGTTGTTGGACACGAAGCAGATGCTCGACGCCGAGATCGCGATATATAGGAAGATGCTCGAGGGAGAGGAGAGCCGGTCATTATTTTTTATTATTTATTATTATTATTATTGTTTATTGTTATTATTATTTATTATTGCGACAGTTCGCCAAAATGTGCGCTTGAAACTTTGCCACAAGTCATTTTTGGCGATTTTGCCCTGGACGATTTCTAAAGCAGTGGTCTGGCCGTGATTGTGGTAATGTATAATAATATAAAGTATAATTACAATAATAATAGTAATTATAGTAATAGTGATAGTAATCGTAATGGTAATAGTATATCATAGCAATGTATATCATGGTGATAATGGTAGTAGTATATCATAGTAATGCGTAGTAATTTATAATGATATAATATATAATAATATATAATAACAATATATAATAATATATAATAATAATAATAATAAATAATAATAATAAATAAAATTAAAGTGTTGGACTGCGGCAGATGGTCGAGCAGGTGGTGAAGACGCACTCGTTGCAGCAGCAAGAGGACACGGACTCGACGCGTAACGTGCGCGGGGAGGTGTCCACGAAGACGACCTTCCAACGCAGTGCTAAGGGCAATGTAACCATCTCCGAGTGCGACCCGAACGGCCGTTTCATCACTCTCGAGAACACTCATCGCTCGAGAGTGAGTTTTTTTTATTGTTTTTTATTGTTATTTATTATTATTTATTATTATTTATTGTTATTATT